TTTACGTTTGAAATTGAATGTGCGTGGGAGCATCCAGATTTTTAATCAGCATAAAATCGGATAGTGGTGATATTATATGGCGACAAAAGCTGACCGAGGTTGGAAAGCCCATTTAGTTTTTACGAGCGATCGGTTCGTCAAACGCGGATGACTGGGACCTTTTAAATGGGGCCTATCCAAACTTGTCATAATCCTGTTTCTATCTACTTAATGGCGTCTGACAGTTTAATGGCGTGCCTGTTCGGGAAATCGTTAAGTTAGTGGCAGGAAAGACTAATAAATAATTCAGTTTTGGCACAAGATTTGAAGTGAAAAATGGTAACTAATAAAATATTATGGCATTCTTAAAAGCACAAAAATGTAGGCTCATTAATTAGACATCTACACTAGTGACTTAAGAGAGCATCTTTTCTCTCCTTTGTCTTGGTTATTTTGTCACAATATTTATCTGGGTAACGCACTTACTCAAGCCGCAATGATGGTGTTCCTTATAATTAAATTTGGGCTTCTAGACATTAATTTCATGCTAGCTTTGCTTAGTTATAGGAGGTAACATAACGTTGTCGAATCGAACTCGATAACATTCATTGCCTTGCTAGAGGCAATTTTCACCTTCGTTTTCCTTTATTGGAAAGATTTCAACGCGTTTATGCAAAGCGGTGGGATGAATTAAGATAAACCGCTGATTTCTTCCCCAAATATTAAGGAAATCTGTCCGCATTATGCTTACTGCTGAGTGATTTATTCACTGAAGGAGTGCTATGATATAAAACAATATTAACTTTAGTTAATGTCGGGATATCTATCAGGATTAAGAGCTTATCACGTTATAATACCTATTAAATACACTCTAAACTTAGTTGTGATACTTGTACATAAAGAACATAGAAAGACAATATTAACAAAGAAAATTATGTAATAGTAGGTATTGTCGAACATGGCTTCTATTCTATTCTACGAAGGATGCGGAGGTTGTAATTGTGTTGTAACCTACCTATTACTTACATTCCTTCCATTTCCTAGTAAAAAAATACGTTTTTAGTTTCTATTCGTAAAGTAATTAATGACGGGTTATGAATTAAATAATTATTAGCCCAAGTCAATTCAGGCTGTTAACTGTTGGTTACAAAAGTATTCCCTAACAACAAAGTAATTCAGGAATGACGTAAAAGATTTTATACAGCTCGATTCGGACCTATATATCTGACCTAGTTTCCTGAGGATATACGTCATACTTTGGCTGTATCCCAATTTTGGAAAACGAATTCATCGCCGACGGAATATGCTAACGCGTCTACGGTTTTCGTAGAAATCGCCGACTTTGCCGTAGGCAGTGTTTCAAATCGTAACGGATCAAAAATGAGCTACGAAAGGCGGGTAACGGATTTTTTACGACTAAAAATAATATGACGATGTAATTGCTGTATTTTGCGTAATATTTTAATCAATTTCATAACTAATCTACCTTAAAGGTATTTATTCTTGATAATTTCTAAAGTAACTTAAGAGACAACATTTTAGATTAATTTGATTGTTAAAATCATATCATAAACATTCATTTTAACATCAATAAACTGTTACGCAAAACACCGCAAGGAAAACATCCGCACACCTGTATTCAATACAAAAGAATAGTAAAAAGTTACCTTCGCCGCTCCCACCGCAGTATCGATTCCTACCACCAGCGCTGGTCCAACGGCCACCACTCGGCCGCAAGCAAAGCAAAACTAAACAAATTAACACAGCACTTTAAAACGTCCACACTATTAAATAACCGACCGGCGAATACCTCATCGGGCCACTTTTCGCCACAGTCAACTTTGAAAACTTGAAGAACTAAAAAAGAAAAGCCAGAAGCTGAAGTCCAGGATTTTTCGGGGGTATCCAACGAGGAGCGGGTGTTTTTCGGCGTCGAAATTGAAGAGCGCGCACCGCGGGAAAGTTTTATATCGTTTTCCGATTCTCCATTTCGTCCGCGCGCACGGGAGAAAGTTTTCAGCGGAGCGTTAGAAGGCGAGTGTGCTTTTGTTACGCAACTCACTGCGGAGCGACTCCGCCAGGGGGCATCGCGCGTGCAGTGGCGCAGTGGCGAGCATGCGCACTGCCACTCGGCGCGCTGCCGTCCATAGCTGCCGTCGCCGCTCTACATGCGACCGCCATAAATCTTGCCTCTCCTCACCAGGCGACGTCCCCAGAGAGCTCCAATCTCCATCACCAACTTTAAACTACCAAGTTTGTTGACACAACAGACTCGCGTAGACAGAATAAGATGCAAATGTAAACCCTTTAGCCGCTAGAAACTGACCCACTTAATGTTGTGACTGTGGCTTGGAGGAAAGTCAATAATAAAGCTGGAGGTCAGGGCGCTAAGACGTTGCGTGAAACCACTGTAATGGCAAGGCGGCAGGCGAGCCCAATCTTCGACCTCGCTTTGTAAATAATCTGATACAAAATGTTAATCATATTCAGCATTAAAGTATGCTTTCACAATTTTAGGAGACAATTTCTTTTTTATAATTAAATGAAGCAGAATAATATACTTACGAGCAAAAGTATGGAATCGCCCCTTTGTGTTCCGAGCGGTCTTAAGTACTGAATGACTACCTACGTATTGCTATTAGTCATTTAGTTCATAAATTGAAACTTTGTCAAAAAGGCTTAGTTCGGCTGCTTTTGCAGTGAGAAAGATAAGGCAATTACTTAACTGACATTGAAACGGCAAGGCTAGTATATTTTAGCTATTTTCACAGTATAATGTCATACGGCATATTGTTGTGGGGCTCAGCCGCGGACATTGAAACTGTGTTTGTTCTGCAGAAGAGAGCAGTGCGGGCCATTTATAACCTTGGACCCCGATTTTCCTTGAAATATTTTTTTAAGGAAATTAACATACCTACTGACTGTAGCTTCACAGTTCATTTATGAAAACCTTTTATATGTTCGCAAAAATATAGAGCAATTCACGAAAAAGAGCGTTTTGCATAACTTTAATACAAGAAACAAAAATAAACTTGCCGTTCCAAATTTCAGACTGCATAAGATTGGGAATTCATTTATGGGGAAATGTATTAAATTATTTAATAAATTACCACAAACTGTTGTAGAACTACCCATTCATAAATTCAAAGCACATATTAAAAGTACCTTAATGAAAAAGGGCTACTCTAAAGTCGATGATTATTTAAAAGATAAAAATGTTTGGGATGCGTAACTGCCTAGCTCGCATAAATATTATTATAACTATGTATTTTGAAAACCTGTAAACCTTTGAAAAAGAGGCTGACAATAGTGTCTGAGTTTCTTGCGCTGCTTCTTCTCAGCACTGGCCCATTTATTGTCCTGAAGCAGTGGTAGGGTTAATACTGGGACGTGTAAAAGTGCTTTTTTAAAGCCTACTTACAGAAATAAATGAGTTTTACTGAGTTTTATCACTCGGAATAAATAGGGTGATTCCATATTTTTGCTCGCGAGTGTAGCTTAGATACTTTTTTTAGGTACTTACCAAATTTTATTGCAAACTAGCGGCCGCCCGATACTTCGTACGCGTGGACACCGTTTGGGGTTGAATTATGCAAATCTCGCCGTAAAAACCATCCTAGGACTTCAACAAACATTAAAAAAAAAAGCATTGGTAAAATGGGTCCTGGCGTTGTTGAGTTATGCGCTTATACCAACACATATTGAGATTCATTTTTATATTAAGGTATAGGTTACCAACATCGACACCCACCTTTCTATTTATTTAAAAGCGGCGTTTCTCACTAATTACCGGCCATTGTAGCAAAACCACCAGTAATGATAATGACACATCGCGAATCTATTGCTGAGCAGTTTGGTCTATTTATAGCGGTACTGAAATTCATTAGTTCATGACCATTAAGAATACGGTGATTAAAATTTATAGCTAATTTCTTTACAAATTGCAAGGAAGGAAACAAGCGCGTCCATTCGATTATATCGGTTACGATTCCTTACGATCCTAAGGCATTTTCATTTTCCGAATGAATAAATCTGGGTTTATACCTACTTAATTCTTAGAAAATAATTTTATAACTCGCTGCTGAAAACGTCACAAAACTTTCAATGAATGGTCATGGTCATGGCAATTTGTTTGTGAAAAATGTTGTTTGAAAAAATATGTTTGTGAAATATTTTCTTCTTTTAGGTGATAGCTAAATAGTTAATTAAAAGTTGGCCGCACTGTAATCTAGTGTCAGTCTTTATTAGCAGTTGTACCTAACGGCTATTTTACAGAGATCTAAGAGCGCCCGAGAGCTGCGAGCTACAGCATGCGCTTTGGCGTGGAAAGAGTGACGTTTCAGCCTTATGTATATTTTGCTGAAAAGACTCTCGGGTATGAAACTACCCTCAAAAATGTTCACAACTGAGAATGGTCTAAAATATTGAAGTCTAAAACTATATGCTTGCGTTTCAATTAAAGATACCTACTTATGGAGCATCGTTTTAGAATAAGTACGAACTTGAGTTCGAGGCAGTTCGAACCAATAAATTGCTGTGCCCTGGGGTAAGCTAATGCCACAGAATATTATTGTACTAACTGTAGACACAGAGTAGCATTCGTTTTCGATTCGAGATTATGACCCTGAATTCTTAAGCTTCAATCGTTAATTTACTTACCTTACTTCAACAAGGAAAATGAAAGGGTCTATAAATAAAATTCAAAATTATTTACACACTTTATTGAATTAACATAATGAAAACAAACATTACATTGAAATGAACCTCAATGACAGTATTCTGTAACCGTAAGTACAACATTTATAATTCATTAACATTAATCAATTCAATTCACAAAACGATTACATATGTTGAAAATTACACTGATAATTGAAAGATATGGCGAACATCTAACTTGTAATGTGGAAAGTGATATGATTTATGTTTATGTACGAGTACTTATGACTGATTTACACAGGCCTGATGTATGAACAGCTACATAAAAAGGACCAAACCATAATATTATCTTAGCTATCTACTAGTTCCTTTGCTTATATAGGGCGCCTTCAAATTAAATGGCGCGAAGAGACTGTAGTGGCAACACTGCCAATTGCAAGTGATGCCAATTTTCATACAATATCAAGACGCCACTGTATCACACATGCACAGAATACATGGGCATAACCAAATTCTGAGACCAAACGTCGTAAAAAATTCAAAAGCGCCACAGAGATGCGCGTCAGCCGCACTAGTACAGTGACACCTATTTAATTTGAAGAAGCCCTTATTCCAAATATCAATTCTTCAAGTCTTTCCGTCACAATTTATATATGCGGTCCTCCGAAACATCGAACCTGTGTAAACATAATTATGCTATTTTAAACTAGATATTTTAGCGTAAGTCCGTCCTTGCGTTTTATCTCGCAAAACGTTAATGTATTCTCGTGAAGTACGGTGAAAACATTGATGCGAATGCTTTACTTATAATCGATGTTTATGTGCATGACATGAAGTAGGCGGATGTTCCTATCGATCCCCTTTCGTGAATGGAGAAGTGCAATAGTTTTTGGATATATTTTATACATTTTGTTATTGTTAAACAACATTTATAAGTAAAGTGCTTATTTTTTTACTTGTGATAAAAGTAGAAATATTATTTTTATTAGACACTTTCTAATGATCATGAATAAAAAATTAAATGCTTATTGAAATTGCAGCAGTGAAACACCTGAGATTTGGTTGTATTTTTGATATTCCTTATTCTTAACTATACTCAGTCAATAATTAATATTACATTAACACTAAAATGATATAATGAAAACCAAAATGAGAATTATATTCAGATCAAAATCATCTCATTATATACCCACGAATTGTGATGGCATAGTCGCTTATTATACGCGTAATAATGCCATAAAATTTTAAGAAATTTAGTTTTACATTGTTATTTTATAATATGTGATAGAATAATGATATAATTTAATAATTAATACGAGTTTTATTGTTATTTCAGCTTATAGTTTTGAACAGTTTAAAATATACTCAATTTTATAAGCGTTCAGAATACATTGATTTGAACTATAGGTATAATTGTGATAACTAATTGTGAAATAATATCGTATTTACCCTGGTACTACGGCATTATGATTAAGGATGAACGTCTCGTAGTTCTAATATACTTTTAGTGTGCTTAGTGGGACTGAAGCAAATATATTTTTGAATATTGTATATGCATAACAAATTACACAACCCTTTTTACCCATTCGTCTCGAACCTGTATGTGAATATATTATGTAGATATAATTACGAAGATAGCAAAATATCATTTATTCACAATGCGCGTTTAAATTTTTTCGTATATTTCACAATCTTATAGGTTGAGAGCAATGAAACCCAGATGCTTGATGTTCGTTTGATCTCATACTAGCCATTAATTCAAAGAGGGATATTCCAAAATAGTGCATTAAGATAGATATTAAATTCAGGTGCTAACACGAAAATTCTAAAGAAAACAAATTTCCTATTACATTCATAAATATTTGCTAAATTGAATTTAATAATTACACTATTATACAACGCAGTCAGACCCTGTCAATAAAGGCTAAATATAAGTAAGTTATAACGCTGAATAAACATACACATATCTTACTGATTAAAGAAACAGCGAAATCTATAAACAAAAGGCACCGACATTAAAGTGTAGTGTCCCTACGTTTTTAAGCGCATCCAATGTTGAAGGAAACTAGTGAAAGAAGAGAAGAAGAAAGTAACAGAATAACGACAAACCATACTCGGACTTGACGCTATTGAAACGGTTTGAAAAGTTTCTGCCAATTTTATAGTTACGAATTACTTTAACACTACAAGGTACATCAGTAATCAAAGTAATTATTAATAAAGCATCCAAATATTGCGTACCGTCACACCGTATAAACATTAAATTGACAGCTCGACTGTTGTTGTCACAAAAATAATTGTATTTCCTAATAAAAGAAAAAGCACACGATGCGCAGATATCAATATATCCAATTCTAATAGATCAACAAAACAAACTAAACATTTTAAAAGCCTAGCTTACGTAAACATTCAGAAAATTGAGCAAATCAAAATAACATTAACAATATTGAATCATAATAACTACTAAATATGAGTATAATAAAGATTATTATAATAATGATTGCTGATTAATATTATAACCGAACATAACACCTACACGTGACAAATAAACGTATTTTATTCACTAATATTAAAATTGCATTGTACTAAATTTAATATTCATTGACAACACCAATAAACTAATAGTCATTAGAGACAGTATTTGCGTTACAATTGCCTTTTGCATGCAATACAAAATATAAATCGCTATCCCGACGTATCACGTGCGCGCCGCCTACGAAGCGTGCACTATCCTACGCGCCGCTCGCAACTATCCGGTAGCAATAGCACAAAAGTGCCCTCCCAACTTTAATCACAGCTATGAACTCTCTTCTCTTTAGTAACGAGCTACTACTCAAATTTCTCTTTACTCCTATAGATTAACTCTATTTATACCTGTGTGGTACTTAATTTACAAAAGCTCTATACATTGTCTTAATTGCAATTTATTATACTATAAATAATTGATTTTATCAAAATTTATTGCTAATTTTAATTTAGCGAGACCACATAAAATAGTTAAAACTTTGACACATACGAACAAAAATAAATAAACTTTCTAACTTTTGTACAAAACGTAAACATACCGATTGAAATAAATTTTGACTAGCATAATTATATAATTGTAAAATTTCATTATTTGTCTTTTATTTTTCAGAACAATTTGACTAGCATAATTCGACAATGTCTATAAAATAATACTTCAAACAAATACCATGCTGCCTTATCAAATCCATGCATAAATTTAGACACAACTTTGGCACAATCATCATTTAATCTTTAATAATCATTAATAAGATTAGAAAGGGAAGACTTGGGGAAAATATGTAATAGGGATATGTTCCGAGAATAATTTGTAATTCTAGTTGTGATTCTTATATCTAGGGTGCAAAATTAATAATAAATCAGTGGATTACTTCACTATTATTATAGCTCGCAAGTACGCTTGCGAGTTATTATTTGACACCATTATTATTATACAAGTAAATGACATTTAATATACCGCATAAAATAATACGCCTTATTGTTACGATATAGAACGTGAACCGTTTTGGCACAGTTGTTAGTAATCGTGGCACTGGTTTTCTCCAAGTAAATATTGTTTTCTGGAAAGCATTTAATACAGTGGTCCTAGAGTTATCTTATTCTACGTTAACCTATGTTTTTTTAAGTTTTTTTTGGAAATATTTAGATTACCACAGGACTATCTATATTTTGATCTAAGACTAAAAATACAATGAGCAGTCTGGAGAGGGTAATAAAATAATTCAAACAAACTGTTCTACGTTACATCACTAAACATTAACTACTCTCAGAATAATTTAGCATAAATCCACAACATTATTAGTGTTAAACAAACTTCAACAATCTTTGGCTTTGATCCCTAGACCAATATTATTTACTCGACTTAAAATTTTCAGTAGCCGATGTACACATTGTGTATAATGTATGTTAGAGATCTTATAGTTCAAATGTAAAATAAATTATAGAGGACTATCACATTTAGCAACACTATTTTTATATACCTAACGTCTTTTGTGTGATATTAGACGATTGTAAATGATATACTGAAATGTTCTCTTCTCATCTGTCTCCGCTTTTAATGTAAGATTCTTAAAGGATTTGATCCCATCGGTTTCGTATCGCCGCGTCGTCCGACGCAACTATTACTGTAATACCTAATTTTCCAGGTTATTACGATTATTTATTTACAAATATTGTCTTTAACCCTCTCACTCTGTTCGCTAATCTAACACTACGCTACGTCAGCGGTTCCGAGGTCGATTGTAACGCATCTACACCTACCTATACGCCGACTCTCGACTATCTTATTTTGAACATTTCTGTCTGGTCATTACTGATCTCCGTGGAAAACAAATCCAATTGATAATTGAATAACTCGACCGCTTAAATCCATAGTAAATTCGATCAGCTTAGCTATCTCCTGTTGCATACTTTGTTATAATTCACAAACCCGGGGGCGGTGAACGACACGAAACCAACCTCAGCCACAACGCAGCCATTCACAATAATCGTCCACGTAACCGACACACGTTCACCGCACACAGATTTATAGAAAATTTTAAATTGTCAGTCGTTTTAAACCTTTGCCATTAATTTCTCCGAAATAACATATTCAGTTCTCAAATTCCCAAGATTCATCTTATGCCACATTATTCCTATCCCAATTAATTAAATACAGTGGAGAATAAATATAAGAATATCTAAAATACTTATAAACTCGTAACAAATGTAAACATACGCTCAGCACGATATCTAGTGTTTGCTTCCCATCTCGTAGAGATTGTTTGGTCTCGATATTCACTTGAAGAAATATATCGGAGCCAGAGTCCCGTATTGCGGCTGTACGAAGTATGCTCGTTCGGTGACTTTGAACGCAACGCCGGAAGTCTGGCCGCGGAGCCCCATTCAATGGATCGGCGCCTTCACGATGTGGTTGGGCGCGATGTAGTGGTAGCCCGGCAGCGGCAGCCCTGCAGTCTCCATCGTGATCCTGGAACATTCACCCAACAGTTACACTCGCTGCTCGTCTCTTTGCCCGGGCAAGTCAAACGGTGGAGGTCAAAACAAAACCTACAGGTCCCGTCAGTGTTTACAAAAAAGGCGTGTGGACATTCTAGGATACAAATCAAAATGTAAAGGAATCATCTTACCAGGATATTGGGTGATCCAGTGAGCTGTAGGATGTAGGTACTCGATGGATTTGGTCCGGCGTTCAGGTATCACGGGAATGTGTGGTGCCGGGTAGGCAGGATAATGGCTTGGGTTCTTGAATGGGAAGCGTATTATTGCGACCGTTTATGCTAGACAATTACCTGCGCTTTATGCTTAAACACAAGTCAATTAGTAGGGACAAAAAAAAAGTGAAAATAAATTAAAACCGCAAAATAAAATTATTATTTTTATTATGTACTTTAAAACAATACACTTTTACTTAACGATTCTAGCGAGTAATATAATCCAGAAATTATAAGAAAACGTCTATTCCTTAAAATTAACATGATTTTTTTTTACAAACAAAAAGGAATTGGCAGCCAAATAATTCGTTCCCTATGGAACAAGGAAATATTAACTTTCGAATTGGACCTCGATTATTAAATTCGCACTAATTGTAACGGAAGGCAAACAACGTCATTTGCGGGACTAGGCCAGAGGGGCAAATTTTGTACGATTTTTAAAATGTATATTCTAACCGTTATGTCTTACCAAACTTACGAATGTAAACGATCAATGATGTCGTTTGCCTCGATTACACTACGCAATACAAACCGTTCAAAACTACCTAGTTATAAAGTGAAAATGTAATCGGTGTAATATTATGACTATTTATAACAAAAGAAACACCTAGCCATTTTATGTGAACAGTGAAGTGATTATAACAACAAACCCCGTGATCTAGAATATTTTACAATTTAAATTTTATCAATTTTTGCAAAACACTACCACTCCCAAAACACAACTTTAACATTACACGAACAGTTTCAGCGCCAGACCGATATCCGCGTGTCATGCCTAGCCATAGAAGACGAAACTATATTCAAACAGAAAATCAATGTCCCTCACTTTTATAGTTAACAATGTTATATTTGTTAAAATATTGCAATGGCAATGAACAGACGCGACCATTTCAAATATAATTTTGAAATAAAGAAAAATCAAGTTTAAATATGACATTGAAGACTATAAACAGTTATTCATCAAAAACGTTAAGAAGTCAAATAATTGAATTTCTCGTTTTGTGTGCTTAGCCTCTTTGACTTGACTGTACTAAAACACAATCTAAGTTAGGGCGCCGAAACTGTTGCGCGAAAACTATAGTCTCTAAAGTGACAAAACACATATTATGTAATAGCCAAAATTGGCTACCTTATCCCTAGTCTCCGTTGAAATAATACAGTCCAGTTTCGACTCCAATATCCCAAATGCGCTGTCACTACCTAAATAACTGCAAACTATCAACTGATATATTCATATAAAATAGTGAGATTTAAATGTTTCTCCCATTGCATTTTTGCAAGATATTCAATATAGTTTATGTTTTATGAAATGTAAAAATAAAAGTCACTTTGCAAGTGAAAAATTGTATAATTATCGAACAGGTTTGATTCGTTACTGAACAATATTATTAGACTGCGATCCGGGAGCGTCAAGCAAATAAGGTACGAATATCGCGGGCATACGTAAATATTTCATCTACCCGAGAAGCCAAATTATTTTAACAAGATGGCTCAACCGGAGATGATTAACCATAAACATTATTGCAACGGCATTTGGACATTATATGCTTGACGCGATTTGACTTCTCTATTCTACGCTACGCCGCTCGCATTTCAACTTACACGCAGCCTTTTCTAAGTGAAAACCGACAGCCAGGCTTTATCTTTAATTAAAACTATAAGTCTGTGACATTACGACCTAATATTTAGAAAATTTCCATTTAAAAATGTACATACAGAGTAATCGGTAGCCATCAAACGATACTTCATTAACAAGTCGATCTATTTATTGCTGTATGTAGCGATGTCCATTTACTCTGTAATCAATTAACCTACATATTCGAATCTAAAATGTATTATCATTAAGCTTCTACCAATAACTACTGGCCTGAAGTACGGCTTGATGTTTTTTGCTAGACACCCTGTATTTCAATCTTAAATAGAGTTAAAGGAAAATGTGCCCATTATCGACATCGGAGTATCTGGACTGTGCAATGAAAGCAATCGTCCAATTTCATTACCTATTCCGAAACTGTACAATATTGTACTTTACGTTCAAACTCAACCACATCAGCCTACTACAAAACGCTAAATTTCCATTCGATTCTGAATCTTATACTCTTCATATAAAAATAAAAATCAATTGGGGATATTAATATTTTTGTTGTCGGTTGATTACCAGGTGCCTCTACCAAATTACGTCCAGTCAATGATCGGCACATTTACCCTACATCCCTTTCAAACGCGAAGCCCTCTGTAATTTGTACAGCTTTCAAGCTTCTACGTAATTCCTACTATTGTCACGATCCCTAGTTATCATTAGTCGTATCATTACGATTTTTGTTATGTTACATTTTGTAAATTATCTTTTTAACACTTGTCAGTAGCTATTTCATTGATTGATTTATTAATCTGTTATCTGTTACAATTACTCTTGTCTCGTCACGTCGATTTTTCATTCCTTTCCAATTAAATAACGGGAGATTCTTCAAGAAACGTTTCTAAAAAATCTTGATAAATGAGTTCTGCAATACTTGACATTGTAGATAATCCAGAGGTCACGGTGACAACTGACAATCACTTATCAAAAGTGAATCATACAGTGAGACTGTCTACCTTTTGCAAAAAAATAAGACCAGCTTTAAAACCAGATTTCTGATTTTAATAAAATAGGTAGCCAAACTAAGTTTGTAATGTACTAACGTACTGATAATTTAAGGCAGTCGTTCGCAAAATGATTCAGTACTGTCTCACTATGAGTCAGTTTGTATAATAGGTATAAAATAGTAAAAATCGCTTTCAATAGCATAGTCTTTGGATCCAATATAAAACATAATGTTTGTTCGATTTCATCACTGGACGTCTTTGTGTAAACCGTCCCACAGTGTTTTAAAATCACTTGGAAGCGGACATTTTTTGGTGAATAGATGACATGATTTAACAAGTAAATCTAAGTAAATTCCTAAAAGAAACCCGTGGTCTATCTTCAACAGCTTTCGAGAAAAAAAAAATTTAATTTGGCTTATTTTGTGTGTTTTAAAATACGTTTTTTTGTTTATCTGTTCTTTATTTGAAGTTGTAACACAATTGACTTAAGTGAGTAATAAAGCACACAATTTCCCTTTTTTTGAGCTATACATCATATTCTAAAGCTTTGTAGATCCGGAGAAATTATAAAAAAACTGATTTTTGGTTTTTAATTTTTTAAATTTAAGTTGTACGTTTTGAGCAATAACGAATTATTGCATGTTATAAAAGACCTTTTATTTTACTCACGAAAAAAAAAATCACCGAATTTTGAGAACATACTTTTGAGAAATTTGCATTTGAAATTTCGTGTTAAGCAACGCCTTCCGAAAAACTCTTGGCAAAAACAAACTTTTGTCATTGCTAATACGCAATCTCATTTGTAGTGGAGAATCACAACTTTGATCTCCATTTGTCCATCCAGTGCGGACTGAAGTACGTAATAGAACAAATTAGTAACCCTAAACACTGCCTGCCTTGCACTAAATTGACCAGTACAATATCGCCAGACAATATTTTAATAGCAATGACGAAAGTTTGTGTTTGCCAAGAGCTTTTCAGAAGGCGTTGCATAACACGAAATTTCAAATGCAAATTTCTCAAAAGTATGTTCTCAAAATTCGGTGATTTTTTTTTCGTGAGTAAAATAAAAGGTCTTTTATAACATGCAATAATTCGTTATTGCTCAAAATGTACAACTTAAATTTAAAAAATTAAAAACCAAAAATCAGTTTTTTTATAATTTCTCCGGATCTACAAAGCTTTAGAATGTGATGTATAGCTCAAAAAAAGGGAAATTGTGTGCTTTATTACTCACTTAAGTCAATTGTGTTACAACTTCAACAAAAGAACAGATAAACCAAAAATCGTATTTTAACACACACAAAATAAGCCAAATTAAAAAATTTTTTTCTCGAAAGCTGTTGAAGATAGACCACGGGTTTCTTTTAAGAATTTACTTAGATTTACTTGTTAAATCATGTCATCTATTCACCAAAAAATGTCCGCTTCCAAGTGATTTTAAAAGACTGTGCGTCCGTTTTATGCCAATAGAACGTGACGAGACTCCTTACGCTATAAGAATCCACACTCGGCGTATGCAAGTGAACTAACAGTCCATGATTAAAACGTACTAACAAAACATTAAATGCTACTATGATTTCATTTCAAGATAGTCAAATAAATTATTTCGCTTATTCGAAAATATCCTTACAGCTACATTCGGACAGCCGACCGGACCCCGTTCATCGACCGGCGGTCCCGCGATCACGAGTCGTCGCGGTCGAACGACCGGGGGGAGGCATCCTAGTAGGGGTTGTATTTGTTCCTCTCTTTGGATGTTTTGGTGGGGGTCTCATCGTCCTGGCGGCGCTGGTTAAAGGATTTGTGGTTCCTGTGGACGCCGGTGGTCTGGACGGGTGTGGAGGCATTGGAGCCGCTGAGGAGGTCGGTGAGGCCGCCCAGCGCCGACAGCGAGCTGAGGGCGCCGAGCGCGCCGCTCTTGCTGAGCAGCTGAGCCAGGGGGATGGCGGAGGCCAGCGGGCTGGCGGCCGCGGACGAGCCCGCGGCCCCGCTGCTAGAGCTACCCCCCTCCAGATTCGCCTTCTGAAGCTCCACACTGCGGGCGCGGGACAGGAATGTTGTATAGGGTTAGGCGACAATTTGGGCCGATTCGAAGGCTACGACTCTAAGAAGACTGTCTACGCAACTATTTGTTCTATGTCCTGACCTAAAATTCTTGGAGCAATATTTTTGGCTACCTAAGCACACTCCGACAAACCTTACTTCGACATAACGTTACTCCGACACTACTGAATATCGACATGACTTTACTTCGACACTACACTACTCAGACAAAGACGTATATCCTTAGTCTGAGTAATATAGGGTCGAAGTAAAGTCATAGAGATCAAGTCAAGAGTCAAGGCGTATATCCTTTGTCTGAGTAATGTAGTGTCGAAGTAAAGTAATGGAGATCAAGTCAAGAGTCAAGGCGTATATCCTTTGTCTGAGTAATGTAGTGTCGAAGTAAAGTCATGTCGATATTCAGTAGTGTCGGAGTAACGTAATGTCGAAGAAACGTTTGTCGAAGTTCCGTTTTTGAGCCAATATTTTTATGTTGTTTAGTGGAATGAGACTCGCTCTGAATGCATTAATTAAGATTACATTTCAACATCGTAACTATATCATCAAGATGTTGCATGATTTATGAAATGCAGAATGAATGCTGCTAATTAATATTTCAGCTTTTCTAAATTAGAATGATGATACTAGTGAGATACAACTATGTAGCGTTAAGTATAATTTTAGCACAGATCCACTGTTAAAACAAACATGAATGTTTTGTAACAAAGTTAATAAGTACAAGTTGTTAATAAACTGTACAAAGTTTGGTTTAAAGTATTTTGTTACATTTTAGTAATAAAATCATTAAGCTTAGTAAGTTAACACGGTAACGAATTTTGAAGTAAATTATGAGTCATTTTTAATATTTTAGTTTAATTAAGTGAACATCAATCAAATAAGAATCTCAGGTCAGGTATTTTTTTTAAAAAGAACGCGTTTCTGAAAAACTTCGAAATGGCCCAATTAAGGTGAAGAGACAAATCAGAGGAAGATCGTGGGATGTCAAAAAAACTGATCACCAAAGGTTGAGGCGTGACTTAAAATGGATAAGAATGGACAAAATAATTTTTCTTTGGACATCCGGATGGAATATTTTGGGGAGGAAAGCTGTTCGATGGATATGAAAGAGTTAGGGTACTGACCTCATGTTGATGAGATACTGGGCGAGCGCGACGGAGTCGGGGTTGCCAGAAATGGTGATGGTGCGGTCAGTGCTGCCACCCTCCCGCTCCTCGCAGTTCGATATCCGGATCATCGCGCCAGATATTTGACGGATCTCAGCGATTTTGGTGCCACCCTGTGTGATGAGTAAAAAGATTTTTGAATTTTTTATCAAAACGACCGATGTCACGTGCTGGGTTCTCTGTAGTGGATGTTTTTTGTAAGAGATTTATTCACATTAGTATATTTTTGGTTTGTTATTGTATAGTAAAAAAAAAGAGAAGCCAGCATTCAAGTGTGCCATTAATATCCTGCCAATAATGCTTAATTTATTCGAGAAGCGTCTTGTTGACATCGTTTTTGTTTTTGTTTGTAAGCACGTGCAATCTATAGTTTTGGCAGCAGCAAATCAATAGTCTCGAGTGACGTAGCATCCTGATTCTTAACATACCGTTTTAAGACGTTTAGTCATCGTTCCTAAATTATAACCAGTAGTAAATACAAATGAGTAGGTCATCTTCATAGAAACGCACCGAGCGCGGTTTGTATGTGAGCGCGCGCCAATACGTATGCGGCGCGCACGCACACACTGACAAAATTTAGCGTTGATTAGCGTTGAGGTGCGCTCACATACAAACCGCGCTCGGGCGTTTCTATGAATATGACCTACTCATTTGTATTTACTCTGTTATAACCGTGCCCAAGCACGGTCATCTCGTGTGTCTGTGGCTGGTGGTGGGCTGGTTGCAAGTCTGCCATTAGTGCCATTGGTGCCCAAGCGAAAATAAGAGAGAGAGAAGCATTTGTGGTTTACCTTTCCAATGATGCAGCCGATGAGCTCGTTGGGCACGGTCATTTCGTGCGACTGCTGGTTGGTGGCGGGCTGATTACGCGACTGGTTGGACGTGCGCAGCTGTGAGCCGGCCAGTGCAGCGAGGGCCGCTGGAAATGTTAACAAGTACTGTTAGTTTTAGATTAATATTGCTTTTTTTTATTTACATTGCATTGCTACGATAGCTGTAGTTTATAAAGCTTTTATACATGTAATAATTCAATTGGATTCGAAGGACGTTGTCTAGAATCACCCACCAACCAACCCAATCATTTGTTGAAAATTGTTTGGGTGGGAAAGAATTGCTTTTCTTTATTTTCGCAGCACTTATTTGTCTCAAATAAACCCAAGATCGTCTAATTTCTAAAAATGCATCAAGAATTATTACTTTAATAGTTGGTTAGTAGTTCTGCCGTGACAAGACTATAATGCAGTTTTAAGAAATAGCTTACCTGCTGGGTTAAGTCCACCAGTGTTTGCTGGTCCCAAGCCTCCAAGTCCTAGCGCCGCAAGTCCAGCCAATGGCGATTTAGCTAGCCCACCCATCTAAAAACGGGCAAATAATTATAAAACCGTTATATTTATTTCAAGTATAACTAAACTAACAATACTGATATATCAAATGGTTACATATAAAACAAATAAAAGCTCCAGCTGCTTGTTTTCATCTTCTCTGACATAGCCGGGATGGGATCGCTGGATAGGGTAACCTGGGTAGAAAGATTTTAGAAAGAGATAATCATTAGAAGTCTAAGAAAATTCGCAATGCTTTTATTATTTTCGATAAGGCTAGTAAAGGTTGAAGCCAAGAACCACCTTATCATCAAGTGATAAGAGTGATTTTTGTTTCCAACTGCAATATAAAACTAATAACTTATAATGTTATGCGAATGTTCTTAGAAGCGTGTTTTTGTAAATTTTAACCACATTGTGAGTTCTTGAGTGGTGCTGCCCGAACAAAAATACGCACCTTTGTTTACACATGAATAGTCAAATATTCACTGAACTCGAACTAATAACGATTACTCGTTTCAGAGTAAGCCATGCGCTTCCATGGTTAATCTCAACATTGTAAAACACAAATAAAAGTTGGAAGAGGCAAGGCAAAGGCAAAATAAGGAAAGGTGCAAGTACAGGATCCATGTAAACAACGAATGTTGTAATGTGCGTGAACGTTTTACGATCGAAAGGCTTGTATCTCGGCAATGCCAGAAAACAAACAGATAAAGCTTCGTATGTGTTTCTCTACACATATTACCCTATAAAATACATTATGTGATACATTAATTACACTAATGCTATGGGTTCAAACATATAAATGCTAGGTATCATCAATATACTAATCAACGGGGGATTTACGTGCAAACAAGAAATAATAATGAGTACAAGCGTAGGGGTACAAACTAACAGCGCAAAGTATATTAACTCATTCCTACACTCCACAGCACCAGGATCTAAGTACTATTGGGGTATTTACATAACAATGTTAATAATATTTTCTACTGAAAAGGATTTGACCACACATCCAAACCAAGTATAAGGGATTCCGGGGCAGCACCAATCACATAATATCACTCTGTACTCCACACAACCTCATAGAGATATTTAAAACGAATGCGGTCTGAATTATTAAAATCTTCATTCAATAAGTCATGACTATTTAAATATCCTGTTCCTAAATATAGAGCTCATTAGTATTTTTGTTCTGTTTATCATTTAATTGCATTGAAGTCGAGAGGTTATCATAATGACTGCAAAGTGTGAAGGACAGAAAAATATCAAAACATTCAAAGGCTACGGGGACAAGTTCAATAGTACAAAATGCGCCGAAGATAGACGGACAAAGAACTATATGGACAGACAAGATCGCATAGGTCAGGAGTTATCGCACTACTCATTGCATATAATTTAAGTAAGATACCATCTTCGTTTTGCACCTCTGTGAATAACAATACAATGGAATGGAAAACATTGGGTATTTTTAACCTAGATCCTGAATTATAAATGTATTTTCCTCAAACATTGCGTCAATGAAATAGGTATCATTCTGTCAATCATAACAAAACCATATTTTTGCAATGGCAGTTTTACGGTTATAATTTAAATTCATTTTTCAACCGATATTATTAACATATGGGCACAGAACGAAGCCTTTTACGTGACTCATCTATTGTTAAGACTAAAATAATGCCTAACGGAACTGATAGAGGTAATAGTAGGGCTGAAAGTCATTTAAAATTTCGAGGAAAATAAGCACGTACCTAAATAGTGAGTTGTTATGCTATTTAGACATTGCATCATTCGAGTTTTTAAAGAAATATTATAAGATCATAAATTTTAGGATGAACAATCTGTTTTAACTGTCTAAGTGCAGTAAGAAATAACTTTTGACTAGGGGCTGTATTTTATCTATAGGGGCCGGTCGCGACAGTACGCTAGCTTCCACGAAGAGTTGTCTATCATTAACCCTTTACAGACGGTCTAAGATGCGCGCCTCGATATAATCTTATCGTCGATTTAAGACGACAAATATATGGGCTTGTCGTCTAAGATAAAATGCCTTAATACGTTATAATGGCACGCATAGGCTAGCAGGGCTCTGTCCCATTTATTGTCGCCCTAAACTTAGCCCTATCCCTCTTATTACAAAAAGTTAAACTCTAGTTTATTGTCATTAAGGCTGGATTGCACCATCTTACATTAACAAACGTCAAAAGCCTGTACACTTCCGTACAAAAACCACCGGTTATCGTAATTATCGTTATAGTTACGGCCAAAGTTAGGTGGTGCAACTCAGCCTTAGTATGGAAAAGTAATTTTAAATGTTATTCATTCCGGGTTTAACTTTTTTTGCAATAAGGCCCTATCTGCTTACCTTATGCTTCAACCACACCAACGCGTGCAGATCTCCATCACCGGCGCGATCATTGGCCAATGACAGGTCGCGCGACCCATGACAGCCGGCGCGATCATTGGCCAATGACAGGTCACGCGACCCATGACAGCCGGCGCGATCATTGGCCAATGACAGGTCGCGCGACCCATGACAGCCGGCGCGATCATTGGCCAATGACAGGTCGCGCGACCCATGACAGCCCGCGCGACCTGTCATTGGCCTATGATCGCGCCGGCGATGGCAATCTGCAAGCGTTGGTGTTGTTGAAAACCAGTGAAAACTCCAAGATATACCCTATAGGATCAAAGATTAAGGGGGTTGCTCTATGAGGTGTGTTCGGGCGTGACGCGACTCACAAGGTGGTGTTCGTGCAGCGGCGGCGGCAGCAAGTGGTGCGGGGGCAGAGCGCCCACGAGGGGCGGCTTCACCTCCAGCAGGGGGAACACGGGCGCGCACACCGCCTGCGCGCATACACGGTCAATGGAGCCCCGTAAGTAGGCGAGCTAAGCTAACTCAGCTCTAGCGTTTTCATACAATAATAGGGTAGTCGACGCCTTACTCTATGGATATACTTTAATCAGTTCAAGTGGTGCGGGGGCGGCTTCACCTCTAGCGGGGAACACGGGCGCGCACACCGTCTGCGCGCGCATACACGGTCAATGGAGCCCCGTAAGTAGGCGAGCTGAGCTAACTTAGCTCTAGCGTTTTCGTACAATAATAGGGTAGTCGAGTACCCTAGTCTATGGATATATTATTATGTACTTTATTCAGTTCAAGCGAGGGGCGGCTTCACCTCCAGCAGGGGGAACACGGGCGCGCACACCGCCTGCGCGCATACACGGTCAATGGAGCCCCGTAAGTAGGCGAGCTAAGCTAACTCAGCTTTAGCGTTTTCATACAATAATAGGGTAGTCGACGCCTTACTCTATGGATATACTTTAATCAGTTCAAGTGGTGCGGGGGCGGCTTCACCTCTAGCGGGGAACACGGGCGCGCACACCGCCTGCGCGCATACACGGTCAATGGAGCCCCGTAAGTAGGCGAGCTAAGCTAACTTAGCTTTAGCGTTTTATACAATAATAGGGTAGTCGACACCCTAGTCTATGGATACACTTTATTCAGTTCAAGCGAGGGGCGGCTTCACCTCCAGCAGGGGGAACACGGGCGCGCACACCGCCTGCGCGCGCATACACGGTCAATAGAGCCTATGGTTGCCAGATGGCCGGGAAATCCGGGATTGTCCCGGAATTTTGCGTCTTGTCCCGTGTCCAGTAATTAGACCTTACTGTCCCGGATTTCCGAAAATCTACTAGTTTTGTGTCTTAATAAACTAATAAGTAATAACAAATAACACGGCTGGCCTGCCTGTGAGTCCAACTAAGTACGTTGGCGTACATTACCTATAAAAAGTATGTATTTGAAAATAAATGGCATTTTTCTTTTAAAATAGGTACAAATAAAATCATTTGAAAATAATGGAAACCAAGATATTGTTAACTATGGGCAAGACCCGCACCGTTGTCCTAGTAGAATTGTCCCGGATTTGGTAAGTTTCCATCTGGCAACCCTAATGGAGCCCCGTAAGTAGGCGAGCTAAGCTAACTTAGCTCTAGCGTGTTCATACAATAATAGGGTAGTCGACACCCTAGTCTATGGATACACTTAATTCAGTTCAAGCGAGGGGCGGCTTCACCTCCAGCAGGGAACACGGGCGCGCATATACGGTCAATGGAGCCCCGTAAGTATAGATCGTTTTATCCACGATGACGCGCTTCATCCATTCTTCCGCTAATGTTATCGGTACACGCTAAATCATTCATGAGTGTACACGCACACTACAATAATGACGCTCGGATTGCTCACATCAAACTCCCCGCACCCCGCGCGTCTCCTTGGATGAAACGATCTATAGGCGAGCTAAGCTAACTGAGCCCTATCGTTTTCGTACAATAATAGGGTAGTCGACACCCTAGTCTATGGATTTACTTTATTCAGTTCAAGTGGTGCGGGGCAGAGCTTCACCCCTAGGGCGCGCGCATATTACAGTCAATGGAGCCCCGCATGTGTATTACGGATCTTTGCAACCAGTTGCTAGTTGTACATCAACGCGACTGCTACGTCAACCAACGTTAGCGCCGCGTTTAATATAGGTGGCGCTAGTTTCCATACATTTTTTGCAGTCGCACAGTTAGTAACCGGTAGCTAAGATAATAAATATCCTCGCCTTGCCGTGCTATGCCGTGCTTGCGGTGCGTGCCCGGCCCACCGCAAGGTAATTTGAGCTTCCAAAACAATTTGGCTTTTTCAATACTAGGGCCTAGTCAATCGCCTTTTGCTATCAAAACGCGACTTTTCCACAGATTTCATCTGCTGGGCTGGAATGCGCACCACGATAATTTTACCGGACATTTTAAACGACAAGCGTATGTCTCAAATCGATAAAATGCCGCGAGAAGCCGCGTATCTTGGCCTTGCAATTCACGAATGAAATGGCTGACAATTTATTGATTTCATAGCTAAAAAACAATTTTATAGCCAATTAAGACTTGGTTTTTAGGTCTAGAATGTAGTGTTTTTTTTTAAAGAAGTTGCGTATTGAAATAACGGTATTGTTTATTGGTGTCAAATATCCAATCGATTGCAATACCAAGTTTACTTGTTAAAATATTTGGCTGAGTTGGCTTAGCTCGCAGTGTTTCGCGCTTATGACGTCAGCGGGGGCAATCGCCCGCCAACATTTTATGAAATACGGGCCGTGATTTGAAAGTGTTTACAGTGTTTCTTTTATTTATACTTTGCCGAATACAAACTTATCATTAAAAATACAGAACATTTAGCTTCTTTTTACAAAACAATCATACCTTAAATCTTTTCAAAATTAACCGACTTACATGACAGTGATTTTACCACTAAAATATTTATACATGTTAAAAACAAAATGCATTGAATAAAGTGTGATTTTCAGGTAGAAAACAAATCTTCGAAATAACAATCAAACCCTTTACCCGGCTAAAGAAATACACAATAATGTATTACTTTACCTAAACTCAGATTTATATTAAACTGAAACAATATAATAAAATAAATACAAAAGAACTAAGACTAATTACTACATATTTAAATGTTGCATGTTATAGAAAATACTTCTGTCATAGCATTTTCTTCAATATTGGCTGGAAACCAACTATACATTGTTTTATTTAAACACCTAGATAAGACCTCGCCAGGATCATAAACGGCATAAAATAAGTAGGCATTAAGTTTTATCAGCAAATCCATGCCGTAGAGATAAACATTAAACATTTGAGCAGGTATAAGTGTGCATAGCAACAGTGCATTGACTTTTAATTTATTTCATTGTTCGTAAGTGTGTGAACTCGCATACGGCATGCCGATAATCGCCAGATGGGCCCCACCCGCCCGAAGGAAATGCCATATGAAAGCAATTGAAATCAACACGTGTTTATTTATAATTTATTGTCAGCTAATTTAACACTAGAAAGGCCGCCGTCCCATTTTTGTCCCACTCGCGAGTTTGATCAGCTCTAACTTTTTTATTTTTCAACGAAAGTCCATGAAACTTTTTGACTTTTTCTGATTTATTGAATTTTATCATTTTTTAATGTTTTTGCTAATATAACATTAATAGAAAAAAATTTAAAATCGGTTTTACCTAGAAGCGCCACTGGGTCAATTTTGTCCCACCCTGGTATTTGCCACAATAATTCGATGAAGAGTCCTTTTTTCGAGGAGATACGAAAGTGGAGAGGTGAGGAGAGTTTAGGTGACTCGTGACAATGCAGAAATGTAAATATATTGTACTAGTTTTTGCCTGTGACTTCACCCGTGAGAAATTAAGTTTATCATAGAAAGACCTAATTTCTTGACACTTATCGTTGCTTTTTGACCAAATAACTGAACATTATTCTAAATTATAGCCTATATTAAGTTATTCTGAAGTATTAACAATAAAATTGCAAAGTTTTATTAAGATCGGCTTAGTATTTTTTGCGTAAAAGAGTGAAAAAACATCCATCGATCTAACCATGAATCCATACTCACTTAGTTCAAGTTCTAGGCATATATCCACCTATTCATCCATCCTATCCATTCATCAGTCCATCCATCCTTCAATTCAACAATATTTATTAACTTTTACATTTATAATATTAGTAGGAAGATGGCCTCTAGACATAAGCCAGTTCATACATTGTATGATTTGATACATTTTTAAAATGTGTGACTTATAAAATTTTGGAGATTAAACGTACATAATTTTCATTGTAATTGGTCAAAAACTTCATTGTTTGTGTACAGATAACAGAAAAATAACCATACCTATAGAAATTCCTAAACACATAGTACACCAGATAGACAAAAAACCATACAAAAAAACTTTGTGCAAAATGTGCACTATTATTTTTAAGATATTTATTTTTTCTTTAAAAATAATAATGACTAGTTAAAGTAGTAATTTCATGATTTTAATACAGTATACCACCACGTAATATGTGACTGTTTTTAAATGAAACCAAAAATATCTAAATTTTAATAATTCCAAATTAAAATTGAATACATTTATATTTTTAAAGAATTAAGTACATATTGTTTTAACCACATAGATAAACCTTTTTTTAAGGATACTACAAATAGTTTTAACCATAATATTCATGCCTGAAACTTAAAAATGTTACAAAATACATGCTGGGACAAAATTGACCCAGCGGCGCTTTTAGGGGGGTCGTAATCTTCGGCACTTCTAGTGTTATGCTGTCATAAAAGTCTGCGCTAATGTTTTATTGAATGCCTCGCTAATGTGATAAAAATTAAGCGTGACAAAATAATATCGCTATCGATTTTATGTTATTTATTCATGACATAGTATTGAGTAAAGAAAATGAACAGCAAAATAAAGACTTCTGTGCTTCTCTTAGTGGTTTTCTTTAGTAATAATAGTAGTAACTCACATCTTGCGCTGGCACGGCGTAGTTGCCCTGGATGGTGTAAGCCTGGCCGCCGGCTAGGATGACCGGGCCCGCTACGTTTGGTTTCGGCCTGTATGGGATCGTGGCTCCTTTCGGTGGGCTCTGAAATCATACACATACCATAAATATACCGTCTATTATATTCCTAAAATGCGATAATTGGGCAGTTGAGACCATTTACAAAATTTTGTAAACAAAAACAAAATTACTTAAGTAACTTTTAATTGATTTGGCAAAAAAGTGACGTCATTAGTTGTATTCACCATACAAAATAATGCCACTAATGACTGGTGTTGTAAACCACCATAAATAAGGAAGTGATTTCAGAACTTGAATGCCCGTTTTCATCACCAATCCCTAATTTTTAAGTGACCTCTAATAGTAACACATAACAGGAATTTTGTTTTCATAAGGGGTCACTTAAAAATTAGGGATTGATAGTAAAATGTTACTTGATTTGTAAATGATATTATTACTACCGAAACCTTTACAGCAATTAGTTCTTTAGAACTACTATTATTAGAATCAAGTATTAATATAGTTGATTCGGAAGACCAACTGCACAGCACAATGCGTGCGTTTAATACGTTCCGATAAGTTTGCGACAGTTATTATTATTACCTCTAGCATGACACAACAGATGTGATAAATGCATTGTGTAATTGCGTCGCATGTGCCGCTGATCGTCACCGCCCTCTCTGTGGAGTTTGGCAACATTTCGCTCGCCACCTATAAACAATAGAAAACGTATAATTAATGTCATTTTGTCTACTAAGATAACCGCTGCGAGAACTAATTTCTAGTGTCAGAATATAGAGTGCAACCGATCGGTTATTCTTGGGAACTTATTGGATAATTTTAGATTCGTTTTTGTTTGCTTGATTGTCGATGTCGCAGTCTAAAGTAAACTGTTTTCGTCTTTAGATCATTTGATAAAGACATAATTAACTTTTAAAAAAATAAAACCGACTTCAAATGCGTGAACACAAAAAAAAACTAAAAATTAAAAATATTGCGTATAAAAAAGTTCATCCCCAATTTTCCACCCTTGGGGGTGAAATATTTTCTTCAAATTCGCATGAAACCACCCTTTTGATAATACCTATTCAACAAAAAAATAATCGTTCTAATTGATTTATAATCGGCGGAGATATTGCGTAATAAAAAAGTTCATCCCCAATTTTCCACCCTTGGGGGTTGTTTTTTCTATTATTAAATTTAAATGGGACCACCCTTGAGGTATTACCTATACGCCGAAAAAAGATTTGTTCAAATCGGTTCATAATTGGCGGAGTTATCGCGTAACAAACATAGAAAAAAAAAACATACGGGTCGAATTGAGAACCTCCTCCTTTTTTGAAGTCGGTTGAAAATAAAGTCTGCACACATTTTTATCTATTAAACCTACTTATGGATGCAGTAATAATGATAAGAAGAGTAATAAAGAATTGGCAATCGATCGACTGCGAGCGTTGGACCCATTCTTGCATGTACAGACGACTGCACATCAAGCAGTAATCTGTGGCATCTTAATGTGGTAATAGCCAGACAATAATAAATAGGAGCCAATAGCCCAAAGGTGTCCGACTGTCGATACGAGATACGCTAATTCGATCCCCATCGTCCGTTTAACTATTGTGTTGAAGATAAACTTACCTAACAAAAGCATGATAATTTATATTAATTTCAGGGGTTTACGTAAGGGCCAATGGATGGGCAAGCGTTTTTTTCAGACTCGACAGTGTTATCAAGGAATCGCAATTAATGCAATCTAATTTAGTAGCACAGAAAAACGCGCGTTCGTAAAGGCGTAGACGGTGCTTGAAAAAAGAAAAGAGGTGTTCGTGGGCTCTATAAAATAAACAAACGACGACGATAGCGACACTTTGACAGAATTCAGTGTTGAGGTTACTCTGTCAACCGTAATATCCCAGACCTGGCCACTAACATAATAATTTTAAAAAAGTTTTCTTTATTCGTCAGACCTGTATATTGGCTCCAGTGACGTCACGGATCTCCTTGATCTTGGAGCCGCCCTTGCCGATGAGCGAGCCGCACTGTGAGGCCGGAACGATGAGCCGCAGAGTGATGGGTGACCGCGACCCGCCGCCGCCGCTTTCATTGAACTGAGAGCACCACTGGAATGTTACAGGATATCATTATTTATCCTATATGAATGTTAAAGAATAAGAGTTAAAACTGCCTGCTATAGTAAGTTTCTGATGTCTTGATCTTTAATGGAATCATCCCATTAGTTGCATTTCATGACAAAACTTGTAATAACTTTATAGCAAGTTAGGAAGTATTTCATTTATTGGAAAGTAACAAGAATCAGGGCTTGCTACTGTTATAATTTCAATAAAAAATAAAACAACAACAAGAATGTGTTTCTTTAAGATTCGTAATAACTTTACTAAGGCATTAAAAGAATTTAAGGTCTTTATTAACATCAGTTTGTTTTTAGTGAAGCAATTTCAGGATAAAATTGTGACAAATCAATATGTATTATTTGTTCAAAATAAGGAAAATACGAACCTCTTCGAATTTCTTGCAAATGAGTGTGAAGGCTTTAAAAATGGCGCTAGTATTGCCGGTGACTGTGACAATGCGCTCTGGGCATGATCCATCAGATATGTTGATTTTGGCTCCAGACTGAAATAAATAAACAACAGGTTCAATAACATTATTGATTCTTTAAATTAAAATTAATATTTTCTTTTGTCATTACAACATACCTCTTCCCTAAATCTTTTAACAATCTCTCCTTTCTTTCCAATAATACTGCCGACTTCCTGCAAACAAGAAAGGCATCAGATTAATAATCACGGACAACTCCTTCATAACTTATTTTATTAAAGGGCCTCTGAAAATAGCCTCTAATGCTGAGACAACATTGGCAACTATTGTGCAACGGGCGCAGACGTAATTAATGCAGTGCGTTTAGATTTATAGCACAAAAGATTTCCTGTCTGGTCGCCAATAATAGTCACAGAGCTTCGAGCGATTCTTTGCACCACGAGATGCATTGGGGTTGCGTCAAGACAGTTTTAGAGTAGCTGTAACGTATTGGCTCTTTCCTGGCAACAGGGCATGTTGACCTGTGCAGTATGTGAACAATGCTGTTGCGTGAAGCAGCAGATGCAATGCGTCTGTGGGCCGGCACAAATAGAGCTGACGAATGATGAAAGTGGACACGGTTCAAAAAACTTAAGGTGAGATCGGTGAACCGTTTGATAAGTTATTTTTTCTTGATATTAATCAGAAAAATTGGAACTTAGTTCAAATTAATAAGTAAATAAATAATCAGCATGAATCATTCAAGAGAACACCAATCATCACTTTCTAGTTCGAGCACACTGCATGTAGCCAAATTAATAAAAAAAATAATATTAAAAATATTATTATATCAAAATGCCATGTCATTAGCACAAATGTTTGTAATGATCATGATGTATGTGGTAAAAGAACCTGTAATGGCGGTTGATTGATTAGACCAAACTGTACAAACATTGATGATAAATAACTATTTGAACAGTGTTCATACAAATATAATTATAGAGTAAACATTGAATGTAATAAACAAATCATGTATTAGTCAGACACTGAGCTCAAAGAAAATCAAAAATTAATGAACTGTTTCTCAGCACTAGGCATAAAAGATCACAGTTCAACCAAAGTAAATTTGGTTCTACACACTTCGTTTAAAATCGCAGGCCTTAGACAGTTCAATTAGAAAAAGATACAAATCGACATGTTTGATGAACAGGGCGAGTGCCAATATCTGGCTCACTGCCAAATGTACTTTGTATTGGATTACAGCCAATTAAAAGTGTGTAGACATACTAGTAGGTGTATGTTAATATCAATACATCTCTCATGTCAGTCCAATCTAGTAGCCGCATCTAGGTGTGCTAAATTAGTTTTACTATTGGGCAACATAAATCGAAAATAACAAGTTACTAAACTAATTAATAAAATAGATCATGCTGTTTGTACAAAATTGGATTAAATGAGATCAAAATGTAAATATGAAAAGCAGATGCAGACAATTAGGTGAAACATGATACGGGCAATTTACAGAGACAATAATATGAAAGCCTACGGCAAAGCAAGCCTACATGAGTTACAAACAGGATCTTGTGTAATGCATCCATACAAGTGTGTGTTCTTTAACAAGATTAAAATACCAAAGTCATATTAGATTACCATACTTTCAAACAAACAACTCTTTCATAAACAATGACATGTTAATGAAGATTTCTCTGATGAATATGAAAAGCCTAGTCAGGCGTCTATTGTTTTAAATTATGATTGGCTTCCACTAGCATGTTTTGTATCATTAAAAAATATTAAAATGTTTAATAGAAAGTGGACAGTGGACAGTTTTGTGTTATCAAATATAGCATGGTATTTTTATATTATTTGATATGGTGTAACTAAGAGGAATTATTTTATAAAATACCTCCAATTATTTACTCACATAGAATTAGTTTTTATAAATGTATATTTGCAACATATTAATTTCCTTTCTGATGAACAATACATTATTACACATCTACGCTAACAAGCAGACAATCATATCTACATCTAAAATTCATGCTTGGAATTCCAATGTAGGTAATTACTAATAATAGATGGATGGGTTATGTAAAATGGTATAGTTATAATGATAATGGAGTTAAGAAGAAGGTAAAATAACCACTTTCACAATAAACACAGCACAGATAATTTCCAAAAATACTGGCACTTTGATGATAAACAGTGAGTGTTTCCTCTTACCTTCCCCTGCATAATCAGTCTGATAGTGAGGGTAACTTTGGAGTCTTCCTCGTGGAGGTTGGGGGCTTTCTCCAGTTCCATGCTGGAGGAGGTGTCCGAAGTGTCTCGCGGAATTTTGGCTGCGTACGGGACTACGTGTGGGCGGACACAGGGGACACTCCACTCAATCTATAATGCTGGGACTCTGGGGCTCTTGGCACGCACTGCAGGCAGGGTAAGCTGGAAAACAGGCGCACATCTCAAAAGGAATGTCAATAGGTCTCGAGCGTACTAAGGTGTGGGGCATGGGCACTCGTCCTTTTAGAAGCGAAGCTGATTACCGAATATTTATTTACAGTGGCGGGCGGCAAGCGTAACGGAATAAGGGCGGCAAATGAGGATCTAGACGCTATTATAAACTAACTGGTCCTAGGACCGACCGGATTCTGTGGATGTAATGCGAGTCGGCGGGCTCGGGCTGGCGGGACCGTTACTTGAACTCCGATACCTGTTCGCCACTCGCGACATAACCTCAGCGTCGCGCCTCATGGCTAGCCGACCGGGTTATCGATCCCGCAAATACCAAACAAATTCCATTTACAACCTCAGGATTTACCTTACCTCGTTAGGTTTTCCACTGTGCAACAATAACATAACAAATCTTAACACTAGTATTATCACCAAGTTGTGTATAAAATCACACTTATCACAATTTTCTTTTGTCACTAATTATTAATTACAAAATTAAATAAATTCCGACGGTGACGCGTCGGTATGAAGCTTGCTAATGTCAAAATATCATAGACAACTGACAGTACCTCGCCGCGGATCGATCGCGCTGCCTCTGGCGGAGGCGAGTAAAAGCTTTTTGACAGTGACTATTCATAGCATAGACAGCGAGAGTAGGGTTTTCCCGCGAGGTTTCAAAGTTTTATTTTATTTATTTATTTTATTTAAACTTTTATGCCAAAATAAATTTGTACATAAGGCGAACTTAATGCACTAAAGCATTCTCGACCAGTTTACCTTATTTATTTATTTTAGTTTATCCTTGTTTATTTTCTTTGTTTCGTGTTGTATTATAAACTGAATACTGTTACCTGTTGTGTTGTAAGTAGCTACATTAAAATGGTAGGTAAGTTAGTGGTGTTTATAAGCACAGAATAAATAATTTATTAGGCTTTTTGTAAAGGTAATAAATACAATAAAAAAGACCGACATTTAATTTTTTTACAATGATCAAACCGCGCTCGCTTGAAACCGCCGCAAATATTGCAAAGATGATTGTGGGAAATGACTTCGCAAGGAAAACTTTAGGTAATAATCGTATCTTCAGGGGATCGTAATTAAATATTCAGTTTACCGATACCTCATTGGTAATTTAACTTACGGAACCACTGTAGTGATTAAATAAAGAAGAACTACTAATTTGATAAATGTTTCTCGTTCTTATTCATAGAAACCAATTAGGTAAACTAACTAACGCGCACCAACGTTGATGAACGCACTGTAGTCATTTAAAAAGTTTTGCAGATCTAATAGGAGCGGATGAATACACGCTTCAACTGAAACTGGCCAATACCCACACACTGAACCGTAAAAAGTAATAACTGCAGAGATACTGTTGGACCTCTGTTTTTTGTGAAAAGCCCCTGGACTACATGTCTATATTAAAGTTGGGAGTGCTTTGTGTCCCATGCAAATTCGTTCATCGATTTTATTGGCGTCAACGGAGCTCTTCCCGAGGTGAAATGCCTTTATGCGTCACAGCTTTAGTTTTATGACCTGGGAAAAAGGTTTGATAGTCGTGTCTTGCGGACTACGAAAATCATGGGTGAAAAGTTTAAAAGCGAGGCCATTGAAGGCACATAAAGTTTGTCGTTCATCATTATAATATCACACAGGTCTAGGTGCTGAAGATTTACCTTACAAATTACCTGTTCTTTTCAGTTTAGTTTGTTTAACCTGTATTTATTTAAAATAGACAAAATTTATTTAAGCTTTTTATCTTAAGATATCAGGTGTGCAGGTGTGAGTGGTGTGACCTAGCCATGTGTGTAACGTTATCCCTATTCAGTTCGTTACTTCAAAACAAAATCGCTTTTCCCTTTGTTTGATGTTACAAAAAGGAAAAAACGCGAAAAATAGAAGGACTAAAATTTAAAAGCTCTTAATTGGAAGTCGCCGGGAGCTATAAAAACGATGTTTACTCCAACAGAAACTTTTTGAAGAGCTAGTAGAGCCTGGAAATTTCTCGGATTTCCACAGCACTTAAACTAATGTAACGTAGATATTTCAAATAACATTTTATCAGCTTAATCTTTCTTTAAAAGTTGGATAGGTAGGTAGGTACTACTTTAACAAAGCATTTTATTGTTTTGATTTCATGAAGATTAAGTTTGTTTTCGTGGTTTAGAGACTTTTTCGACTCTAAGATTCTCGCCCGAGTTAAATGTTCAGTTAAATTACTTACACACATTAAAAAAGTCAATAATACCTACAATGTATTTTTTCACCAAACATATACCTATGTATTGTGGTACGAGTACCTACCTATACAACCTACTCGGCTTAAATAGCTTATGGCGGAACAGACTGAAAAAAATCCCTCGAAAAGGTGCCAAAGCAAATAAAAAAAACTGCAAGTTTTTGTCTTACTTCGTAGCAATGAATAGGGCAGACGAGAAAACGGGAAAACAAAACCGTATTTTCATCACGCGTTTCTCGTAAAATGGCGTGGGTAATAACCGTCTTATTCCAGGTTATTTAATTTGTGCTCGAGAGCCAAGAGTGGCCGTGCCGCTTCAATTGCACTATCGCTATTAGAGAACTCAGTATCGGCAGGAAAAGGGACAGAGGACGTAATACTTTTCTACTTACTTGTATTAGGTTCCTTACTTGGCTTAGTTCTGAACTTGTGTATTATTTGTACAGTGACTTTGTTAGAGTATTTTTACCAAGCATTTGTTAAGGCATTTAGACCAATTTGAGCCCAGAACTTAAGAAAATAAGAAAAAACTAAATAAGACTAATTTCATTGTTTTAACTATGGCGTCATACACTTACCGCCAAAATTAATGTGTTTGTGTATTGTGTTACAATTTGTTAAAAGATTTACCTATTTTTTAAATAACATGTGTTTAGAGGAATCGATCCTAGATGTACTTAGTAGATTTACTTAAGGTATTCGCCGTGCAAGCACTAAATTGTTCGTATACCTACTAGAGTTTACAGTTACGATACATTTTCATCACAAGCAAGTAAATACCTACAAGCTCTCGAGTGTACGGTATTCTGAAAATATTTGCAACAAACAAAATTATTAATATGTAAACTTGGTGAGTCGGGCATATCATCCGGTGTTTACCGTGATGAATTGAATCTGAAAATATTCCGCTGATTAAAGTCGGCTTTTTGAAATTAATTCAAATTCAACAGTTGAATTAATGTAATTAATTCAACTGTTGCCTACTTTATAAATATGATGATAGACTTGGTTTTGAGTTTTGAACTCTATACATATACTTTTTAAGCCTAAAGTAGACCTGTAAGTTAATAAACTTAATGTTATATCATACTCGATTTTGAGAATTTTTTTATTTACATAACTTTGCGCATCCTTAATTAAGCTGGGAAATACTTTATTAATTTCAATGAATACTGCAAATAAGAGTTCAAAGGTATTTCCTTTATTTACCTGCCTGTTTCAAATTTGCGGCCTACACTCGATATTTCTGTGAAACTTGACGATACACGGTTTCAGCTTTACAAAATGATGTCACATTAATACTATGCGTCCCACGGCAACATGATAAGTATTGTTTTAGAAAATGAATATGATATGACTTCAAGGCAACTTTCTAAAAACAGATTGAAATAAAATAAGCGTAAGTTCCTAAGCTTCATCGTTTAGAGGGTCAAACATAATGGGAGGCTTATCAATAGCTCCGATAAACTTGGAGAGCCGAGGATTATTGTCATTAAGGTCTTCGTCTCTACGTAGACCCATCCCGTGGGATAATCCTTATCGCGTCAACGGATCTGCAGAAAAGTCCACTTGCATTTGTCTTTTAATTACCTTTTGATTGCTTACACAATCTTTACTAATGTTCTAACGAACAGAAATGTTCTTATTTGTTTGTTGAACAGATATACATACTTTAGTAAACCTACCAGTAAAAGCTTTAGTGAACTTACTTTTACCGATAAATATTTGTACTTTGTAAATAATGTAAGTAATAGTACCAGTTATGAAGTATCTAAATAGGAAGCTAGTAACAGAAATTCGCTGATTTTGAACAATTACTTGGTTAAAGTTTGGGTCAGCGTATTTTCCTGTATGCACAGCACGCCCCTGTTTACTGTAAAGTTACTCAAACTATTTATTCTAATAGGTATTCAACCTGCGTGACGTGGACTTAACGTAGGTAGGTTTGTAAGTTATGTTTCGAGCGAATGAAATATTACTTTGGACCATTTTAATCCCTATGTGGGGAACATTAATATTTCCCCGTGACGTGAGACAAGACACGCCGTTGAATTTCGTCCTGCTTTCGTGTGACGTTTGTTCCATCTACGTAATAATGTAAGTATACTTTATTACGTATGCTAGTTATATTATTCAATAGAGTAGGTACGTACTCTACATTTGAGATTAAAAACAATGTTGTATATTTTTAATTTAAGTTGTTGACAAGGGAAACTTAAATTGGGTCGCCCTATAATGAGGCTCTGGAGGTAACAAGCAATAAAAGAGGGTCCATAAAAAATGGCGGATATCACGTGATTGTATCAATGTTTGGTTTTTGAAAAAAAAAAATGTTAATTAAAAGGACAGTGATTTGAATGTCGTCTTTTATTTTGCTTGCAAGAAGGTAACGTACTTAGATACGATGTAATTCGGTAATCAGCTTTTGAAGCATTGGTATTTTTATGCTAATGTAGTATTCATAAGTCTTCTATAATTATTAGATTTACATGTTTTAAACTTAATCGAAAGTGGATCTCTTGTTTTGAAACAGTACTCTTTAGAGAGAGATTGAGAGAGATAGATAGAGACAGAGAGAGTAATTATTTTGAATGGATATTTACATCGATTGTAAAATACCTTTCAATATTGTACTTACATGTTAGAAGGCGTAGATCCTACGATGCACCTTATCCAAATAAGTATCTGAAACAAAATAAAAGTTCCTATAAAACTAATTCAATAAAAAAACAAGAGTTTTCCACGTTGCTACTGGTTAATACCATACACTTACATACTTTCAGAATAACATTTCTACATAATAAGTTTCTTGTTAGTGTGCAAATGTTTAATAAATTATTGATTTAGTGAAGATTAGATTAGGTGTTTCATCACCAAGACCGTCAGAAAATACTTCATCACCACAGCTACCAGTACCACCAGTATAAGGTAAGTAGGTAGGTATATTAAAATGAAAAACATGACATTGATTTAAGATTTCCCTCATTAAAATGAACCACAAGATTAGGGATGTTTGCAATATAATTATGAATACATTTTGAACGTTTACTCGCCTATTATGAGTGTCCAAATTACGGCAGTAATTTCGGTAAGTTGATCCAATTAGGGAGGTTCTTTAAGAGGTTTCAGAAGGCCAATTATGCCGAGCTTCCTCTGTTATTGAAATGGTTTTGTATAGCACAAATTAGTATATAAATATTGCGTATATATGCGTTGTTATGTTTATTTGATTTTTGAATGCATGTAGAAAGATTTTCTTAAGAAACCTTTAATTTAAGCAAAAGCTCTCTAGTTGAGAGCATAAAAATAATTTTCTAAGGATAAAG